ATATAAATTGCGGCAGGAGTTCCTTGAGAGATAAAAGACTTAAAAAACGAAACTAAACCAAAAAAGTTTGGCCCTTCATTTGGCAATAAAATACGAAGCATTATTCCATTTCACTGATAATAACTACATGTAGTTATTATAGGGATAAAAAAATAACGCTCTCGGCGTTAATCTATCCCTGAGGGATGCGCCATACATTCGACTTCATTAAGCACCGTTTGGAGATGCTCGAATGCATATATGGCCTTTACAATAACTCGCGGTGCCTTACCGATGTATCGAGCCAGTGCTGCTATCCTCGCAGGCAAGTCTGGTACCAATTTGCCGAGCCCGAAGGGATGGAAGGTTTGGTAGGCCATGGGCGCGGAGATCGATTCCACGTGTGTTGCAGGGCGCCTCCCATCCCTGCGCCATACGCGCCACTGCCGCTGTTATTATAAGGCTTTATAAACATTGTATTTAAAAGTTCTTCCGGCACAAGGTTCGAGATGCGCAACAATTACGGCATAGAGAACTAAGGCGTCGGAATTTCTCTAGGTTAACCTCTTTCAGTAATGCAATATTCCTTCCATGAACCAATTATTCTTTCAAGATCTTCCAAATGAGAAAAACTCTTTGATTTCGACAGTGGAGAACTAAAACATTTGCAAGTTCCTCTACACACCAACACTGGAGACGCTATGGATAACTTCCATTTCCTTCGTTTTTAAAAAATCTTCCAGCTGCGTCCTCTTCTGTTTTTCGCAAAAACTTTGCATATCTACGGTAGATAAACCTAAGTAATGATGCTCTTCTTAACCGATAAGCACACGACAACTCTTAATAGTACACTTAGTCAAACCTGCGGAAAAGTTTGCAACATCTTTGCAATTTTTAAATAGGAAAACATACGGTAATACATTTGACCTACGTTTACTGCGACATACGAGTTTAAGATTTCCTACAGCACACAATAGGCAAGCATATTTTCTAACTTCTTTCCGGGAACACTCAGGATTTGAAGGAAATTTCACGACGCCGAAAGATGGTGGTCGTAGAGATGTCCCGTCCCAAACTCCATCTCAGTAATGACAATCCTCTAGCTTTAATTTACTCACTACGGTATGGTAACTGTTCCTAATTCCCAAAAGATTAAATAGTAATTTAGCAGTATAAAAAATAAAAATATTTAATAATAGAGAAGCAACAATAGACAGTAGATAAAAGAGGATACTGGATAGGGATAAAGCTCTCGGTGTTGATCAATTCCGGAGAGGTGCGCCATGCATTCGCTTTCACTGAGCATCGTTTGGAGGTGATTGAATGCATATTTGGCCTTTACAATGACTCGCGGTGGCCTACCGATTTATCGAGCCAGTGCTGCTATCCTACTAGACAAGTCTGGCACCAATTTGCCGACCCCTGTAGGAAGGCTTGGCGTGCCATGGGCGCGGGGATCGATTCCTCGTGTGTGTTGCAGGGCACCTCCGACCACTGCGCCACACGGGCTCTATCTATAGTAGAAAGATACTCGAATCTGGAAATATAAAAATTGCTCATTTCTATGGATTAATGCCGCTGTCTGTAACTTAGACTATCCGTAAGTGTAGTAAGACCAATTGTAAGTGTAATAAAAAGAAAAAGTATGCTAACTACAAAGATTTTAAAAAAAGTTAGGCTTTCCTTCTACATATAAATGCTTTAGGATTTAAAGAAAAGTTGTGGCAGAAAATCATTTAAGAAATTTCCAAAGAGAGAAGCAAAGTGACCGAAACCTAACATTTTGACTCAAGCGACGCCTTGATTGTCTTAGGGCTGTCACTCCTTCCACTGAGTACCGAATTCAGAGAATCAGAGCTTCCACAACGTGGAGCTCGTGATGATGTTGTTACCGTATTAGCAGTTGTTTGAAATGTAGCGCCAATAAGTTGAGAAGGTGATGAAGTTGGAGTAACCACTGCAGACCCCGCCGAGCTACACGATGGTAACAACTTCGAAGTCGATAACGTCACTAAAACTGAAAAAGTATTAGGAGAACAAATGTAACAGTACTGAGTAATATAACTATGCTGCTGCATAAATTATATGTAGTGTGATGAAGCTAAGTTATACGGGTAGAAATGATATACGAATCCAAAAGTAACTTCGTATGTCCTATTTTGTCTTTGTGAAGATCCATAGTTATATTTCATGCACTATCACAGGATTAACACCTATTTATATCATTACCGTCAGCTGGAACATCGTAAATATTGGACGAAGCTGCCGAGCCACCAACAACCGATGAAGCCAACACGACGGCTGCATGAGCACGTATTGCCGGCGATGAAGGTATGAAGGCACGCGGTCGATCGGCAATCGACATCGGCACCGACGACGAAGCAGTAGAGCTCAACATGTGACGATCGTTGTGCGGTTGACGCTCGCTACAAAGCCCTTGTTAAATTGAAAGCCGATTTGTAATGTAGACCCTGAACTTGTAATATCTAAACCATGAAATACGATACAGTAAGAAACATATAGTACTGTAAAAAAACCAAAGAAACATTGCAAAACAAAATATAAACAGATAGAGACATAAATATGGTTGGTCTCTGCGTGACATACTTAGTGGAAACCTCATAGAAAGCTGCTCTGAAGAAGGCGAAATTCGCCGAAACGTCAGCTTAATCGTGAACAAAGAATAGTAACACCTCGCGTTTGCTCAACAAAAATACGAAGACATAAATATGTCGATTCCTGTTTCTTTTCAAACAGAAGAATCCAAATTTCCCATTAACTTTCATAACCCGCTATCACATCTACTGTGTTGATCTCAGAAATTCTTGGCATTCGATTTGTCTTCCTCCCACTCATCGTCCACAAAGGTCCTCGAACATTTCACATGTTCCTTTGGCTGTTGCCTGAAGATTTTGCCTTCTTTACGAGTGCCGCAGGAAGACTTGTCGAGTCGATTCTCCTCACAGTCTTGGAGATAACCGAACTAAGACGCTTCGACGTGGATTGGAGAAGAGCGTTCGGTGACGATCGAATTAGCACTTTCCTTCCCGATGCACTGTATCACTAACCACTGTGCTACCCCCAAGTCCAAAATTTTATTTCTGCAACTTGAAATTTTCACATTCAATATGTTCATCAGTGTTTTCAACACGAAATTGCTGTCGTGCTAAAAGAAACCAGGTCGCAAGATATAAAATCTCTCTACGATCCATCACGGTTCGTGAGTTCCTGGTAGTGAAGATACAAAAACGTGGAACATCTTGAAACAGCTATCACAGAATTAAACGAAAAACCACGTTCAGCCATTACCCATTTAGGTAACGATAAACCTATGAGAAACAATAGTTACTGCTTCAGAGTATATGTACAATGTCAGATTAGTTTCCAGACCAACATCTTCATGTCCAGGAGCGAAATCCGATCAAATACAGTTTGACTTAACTTTAAGAAGCATGGAACAAGAAAATATCACCTGATGGAGCTCTTGCCTCTTAGGTGAAAAAATCAATTTTGGTGGCATGGACTTCACCGTGCAGTCATCCACTGTCGCTCTCAACGACTCTCATAAAATCTGCGCGCTTTGCCATTCATGCAATATTTATGGGAAAAAGGCCCAATGCTTAAACTACTAGACACCAACGTTGCTAAGTGTATATCGATGTGTCTTATGAAGATCTCAAAAGACGAGCGGGTAACAAGAAGTCCTGCGAATTTGTTTCGAGCTTTTCAATCAGAGATGAGAACGGCAGGAAAACGGAAAAACGGGGCCTAAAAATTTAAATTAGAACGTTAGAGTGAAAATGGAAATTTCCAGGAAAGATTACGCCATGCGGCTCTTCTCTTTAAAAGATGTCGTCTCATTCACTTGAAGAGGATCAGAGCATAGCCCTTTTCATGCAAAGATTCCTTTTAAGAGCAAAACGGAAAAGAAGCCAATTCAGTGTACGGGGAGAAAAAAACAAGTTTTATGCAATGAGTCCATTATCGGCTAGCCCTTACCCAATTACGACTGGCACAAAAGCGAAGCTCCGAAATGACATTGTGAGAAGCAAGTAATAGATCTCCGAACCTATGCCGAGAATGCTCACTTTAACTTGACAGTGAACTCTGATGAAACAACACTAATACTCTTTTGAACAAGGGTAAATACTTACGACCCCTGCTGTTGCAAAACACGATGAACACATTGGGTTTAGTGTTATCTTCATAAAGGCATAGATTCATAGACGCAGTTTAGAATGATCCTCATCTATACTGCTAAAAGAGAATTGGAGGCGATGTAACCAAAATTTATTTAGAAATGTAGTCAAAACTTTCGAAAGTGCAATGCCTCTCCAACAACCCGAAAGTGTCTCTTTACGCCTTATTCAAGGATGGGCGACTACAGTCTCCCAACATAAGATAGAACCAACAATGGAGACTACATAGACCCCTCCTAATAGGTGGATTTTCTGATTGATAGAGAGATATATAGATTCTACATAGATCGAACACCTGAACTAAATCTCACAAGATTCCATCATTCTTACTGAAACATCACCACAAATGATTCTTTTCAAAGAAATCCGAGTTGCAATCAGAATCTTAAAGGCTGATATGACTCCTGGATTACACAATATTCCGCAATTTTTTTACATATACATTTAATATTTTACCCGTCATCATATCTACTATGCTGATCCCTCTACTTCCTGCATCCAATTCATTTTCCCATTATTCATCGTCCACAAAGGTCTCTGAACGTTTAGTGTGTTGCTTCTTCTGCTGCCTGTGGATTTCGCTTTCTCTGTGAGTGTGGTAGAATGCTGCCAGAGTCGATTTTTCTCAAAATCTTGGACATAGTCAAACAAAGGTGTTCCGTCGTAGAGTTGAAGAGAGGGTTGCGTGGGAGATAGTGAGAGAGATGGTAGAACTGTCACCTCGCTTCTTCTGATAAACCGCATCATTACTTCTTCTGATAAACTGCATTGATCAATCTACTGATCCCGACCTGTGTACTCACTTATCTTATGCAACGTAATCTATTCCAGAACTATGCTAAGTAGCAGAAGAACTAGATGATGCTTCGCCCAATCCAACCCTCCTCCCAACCACCTACCTTTTGGATACAGTACTACTGGAGGTCGAGCGATATTTTTTGAAGGCGAACCGGTAGAGTCGACAATAAGCCAGTTTTTGTAGCTTATATCCTCAAAAAATATTCCTCTTAACAAATAAACATGGATGGCTGATCATACAATGAGAAGAGAGTGCAATCATTAAAGTGAATCAAAGGAGAAATGTTATGGAAAGGAGCTCGAGGTCAAACACCAAAAAGAAGGGACTTCAAGACTGTTGTAGGTGTAGGCCAACTGAAAACGATTTTCAAATACTTGACCAGCAGCCGAAGTTGCTTAAGAACGAGAATGCGACAATCCCTCTTGAACAATGATTGACAAACAACAAAACGAACGAGAAAAGTGATGAGATCCGAAGAAATGTGGAGATGGGTCCGATGGTAATGGTCAGTACGTAAGTATTTATATAATATACACACATGAATGAGTATATATTATATTATATGTTACGTGCACAATGGGCGCGCGTAGCGCAGTGATCAGAGGATTCCTGCAATACACATAGTATTAACCCCGCGCACCAAATCCACTAAGCCCTCCATCCCACCAAGGTCGGTAAACTGGCACCAGACCTGCCTGGGAGGATAGCAACACTGCCTCAATACATCGGTACGCCACCGCGAGTCATTGTAAAAGTCCGATATGCATTCAATCACCTCCGAGTATTAATGAAGTTGAATGAATAGCGCATCTCTCAGGGATTGGTCAATGCCGAGAGCTTTATCCTTTATCCTTTATAAATAAATAAATATATATATATATATATTTGTCGTCACTTTCGGACGATATATGGTGAAGTGGAGCTGTTGTGCATGCATTTCAAAGCAATTACGATGAACTTCAACGGTTCTCTACTACCACTTCAAACTCCATAACGACGGTGGAAGGGAGAAAAATTTACATCCCAACCGAAAGAACACTTGTATAAGTTCATAGAACATATCCATCGGAAACATGTAACGAAACAATAGAAGATGACGTTTCGAATCTTCACCTTCCTTTTCGTATATGACTCTCGAGACGCATTGGATACAATGCATTTTATGCGTAAACAATTTCAGTTTCGAAAGTTAAATCAACATAACTCAGCTTGTACTAGGTCTTCGTTGTTGAGATAAAAATCACTGGAATCCGCATATTATTGCCCACAAGATACAAGCCAAGTTATTTCTATCAAAAAATTTGTAAGCCCTACAATTTTACCATCAAGGGAAGAATCTCGAAAAAGACAGCAATGGCGTGACTGCCATTGTCGTCGCGGAAAATATGATTGCTCAATAATGCGTTGTTTATGTTTACAGCCTCTGCTCTTGTGTTCGAAATCTTCAAATATCATACTGCGTTTTCAACTCCTCTGAAACTTTAACTCAAAAAATGTTTAAAATTGAAAGACTACTGTACAAAATTTGGACGCTTAATGTTAATGGTCCCTTAGTAAACGTGCTCACATGAAACTCGTCTCTTTTATTTCGGACTATGAAGACATAATTTCGCGTGACTTCATAAATTCACCTGAGGGAAATTACCGGATGCGTAGCTTCTTGGTGAATACCGCGGTGATCAGGCTTTGGTGGGCACGGCTGCACAATAGATTTCGGAGGCTCAGTACTGAAAATCTGTAAAAAAAGAAACAGACTTCGTCAAATCTTATGCATGTATATAACTGTGAATGGACCTTCTCGCAGTTCGCAATCAACACTTCGACGACAACATTGCAAAATTTAATGTCCATAATGGCGGCCATCGTTTCCTCTTTTGGTCTGAGAAGCGTTGGACCAAAGCACACGCCCAAGTTGCCAACCGTCATCAGATTCTCGATGCTGTTGTCAGCCACTCTGAAACAAAACAGAATTTCTTGTGATCGTAATGAAGTAAATGGTGCAACACATCCTCGATTGAGCCTGAGGAATCTAGAGATCAATATGAAAGGAAAAAGTCTCCTAAAAGCTTCACAGTATCTCCAAGACCTACAAACAAAAAATGTTCATGTTCATTTTTATCCAAGAGTGTTCCATAGAAAAAAACCACTATAACTGTTTGGTTCCCAGATCCATCGTTCTCTGACATGGAAAATACTCCTCACCCTCAATTTCCAAACATGCCCAAGAGGAAATACACTCGTAATTCTTCCAAAAACCACACATATCTTATCACCTTTATGGAGAAATCAAATCAGAATAATAGCTAATGTTATAAATCCCTATCTTTATTCCCCTGTATTTTTGCTTTTCGACATTTATTCGATTCTTTTACCGAGGTGAAACGTAAAGGTAACTTATTACTAATTTGAAATACATGGGCTTGAAGAGTCTATCAAATAGAGCGATTTTTTCAGATTACCATAGCTCAAACAAGTAAGACTTTATGAACCTCTTCAGATGTCGTATTACAATCTCTAGCATAGATCTATGGTCTGGCGGTAGTTTATGCACGTAGTAGTGAATGTGGTCGATCCTCGTGCGTCGGTCGTCCATCTTAGCAGCATTAATGAAGAGACTGTGCTGATCGAATGTCATTAACGGTTCCGGAAGGTTTCTAAACAAAAAACAGTTCTGCTTCTTTTCTAAAAACTGTTTCCTACAACAATATGGTCAGAATTTTCATTACTGTTATCAAGCTAGTGTTACAGCGATAAACAAAATGACTGTCAAGAAAGACTGTCGGCCTGCGGCACAACTCTTTCAGATTCGCTAAGTTCTATGTTCGTACAAGAGTTGCTGGTGTTCAAAATGGTCTTTCATTTGAATTCAGCACGAATAATGAAAATATTGATTGATTTAAAAGTTCGTTAAATCTACGGGATAAGTATGCTTCGTTTTCTTGTTCAGCAATCGCGAGTTTGTTGTACAGCATACATTTACTTCCATAGAAAAACACAATACAATACAACAGTAGCTGACGTTCCGGCAGTATCGCCTTCTTCAGAGCTTGGAAGGGTATACTGATATACATTCTGCTAGACCAAACGCTTCAATAACACATGCAAAAAATCGGAAAACTCTAAGGCAATTACATGATCAACAGCCTTCGTTTTTAACATGACTTCCATTGAGGAAGATTAGAACAACTGATTACAGTCGCATATGGTTGATGAATGCACCACCCCACATTAGAAATTGGTGCGAAGATACGGGGTCAGGTCGCGTGTGACCTCTGCGCACTCCTCCCTGCTATTTATTGTAGGGTTCTTGGCATTTATCCAAAAAGCCTCAAGAAGTTTGCACGTAAGCATAGAAACGCATTGGATACAAAAACATAGCGGAGACGATTTTGATGAAAAGACACTATTCCTGCGCAAGGAACTAAAACATCAACACTCGAACTTCTTGAGGCTTTTTGGATAAATGCCAAAAACCCTACAATGAATAGCAGGGAGGAATGCCCAGAGGTCATACGCGGCCTGATCCCGTATGTTCGCATCAATTTCTAATGTGGCATGGTGCAGTCATCAGCCATATGCGACTATAATCAGCTGTTCTAAACTTCCTCATTGGAAGTCACATAAAAAGCGTCTCTGAAGAAGGCGATACTGCCGAAACGTCCGCAACTGTTGCATTGTGTTGTGTTTTTCTATGGAAGTAAATGTATACTGTACAACAGCCTCGCGATTGCTGAAGAAGAAAACGACGCATTTGTTATCCAGCGCCGAGCCTAATAGAAAGTCGTTCCTGGAAACGTTTCCAGATAAGTTTATTTGTCAATCATGACAAGTCAAGTGAAACATTTCCTTAAAAATTTTCATCGTTACATTGCCACTTTGAGCATTTCATTAGTTCGAACCTTAACAGTTCCTTTTTAAATGAAGTTCTACATGTTTAAGTCATATACATTTTCACGTGCAAATCATGTTATAAGTTTACCACTATGCTCTGATTTGTTTCAATTATTCCATTTTGATCAGAGTAGTAAACAGTGCCGAGAATGAACAAATACCATCGATGACGACCACTTGAACGAAAGTCAAGTGAACTTTGTCCACGGACAGGGAAATTTCCAGGAAAACTGCTAGGAGTACTACAGGAACAATTTTAGAGCAGTCCAACACGAGACCATATGTTAAGCGAAATACTATATGTGCTATACTATGTGCTTCATTCGGTAGACATATCCAAACACATGTCAAACGGAGGTTGACGCGATGTCGCAAAAGTTCGAATAAAAAGGATATTACAGCCACAATGATGCTGAGATATTTGCAAATCTCCGCACCGCAGGTTCTGCGGGTGGGAATGAACGCGCTGATACTCTTTGATGGGGGTAACGCGTTCACCGCCACACCATGTGTATCCATCGTTTCGCCTATCTCAGCTAGTTTTCCATATACCAGTACCATAAGCACTATTATTAGGACATTAATACAACGAAGAACGCGTGTGGCGCAGTGGTCGAACACGCCCTGCAACATACACGTGGAATCGATCCTCGCGCCCATGGCTCCCCAAGCGTTCTATCCCTCCGGCGTCGGAAAATTGGTAGCAGACTTGTCTGGGAGGATAGTAAACACAGACTCGATGCATCGGTAGGTCAGCGCGACTCATTGTAAAGGCCATATATGCATTCAGTCAACTTCAACGATGCTTAATGAAGTCGAATGGCGCATTCCTCAGGGATTGATCAACGCCGAGAGCTTTATCCTTTTATCCTTTAATACAACGATACAGTATTAACGAGCAAGCATACTCGCTGTCATTAGAGTGTAAGTAGTTAAAGGTAAGTTTTCCAAAACCTTTGCTATTTGTCACACTTAATATAATCAGCCATTTTTGAAAAGAGCCATGCATTACACAAAGGAGATAGAAAACGTATTTAGAATTAATAACAGTCACGATGAGTACAGAGAAACGGTGAAACTCTTCAGAAAAGGAGTAAATGTCAATTCTCACTGTCAAATCGGGATGAACAATCCCAAGCCACCCTACACTTATCAATTAACTGACTATAAAAACAGTAACGTTATAATCCGCTTTTTCGTTGACGGGCAGACCCAAGGTTGTTAACAAAAAGGTTTATTAAGCACATTACTGGCTAGGGTTTCGCCGTTTTTGCCTCCACTATAACCGTGAAAGGTCAGGTAACACGTAATCTACGCAGTCAAACACTTTCATAAGCTCAGCAAAAAAAAGTTGATATATAAATTTTATTCACATGGAAACAGCTTTTAATTAAACGCTCACTGTTTTGTCCTTTTTAAGCCTTCCAGTTATTTAATGGAGAACAGCCGCACAGAGTCGTATTGGCCAGGAATATGTGTGGCTCAGGTCAGAAAAAATCAGCCTGAGGTATGGTGCTAGCTCATGTGGGATCACAAGATACTCCTCCTTGCGATTCATTCCTGGATTTTTAGGATTTATTCAAACTGCTTCAAGTCTTTTGCTCAGATATTTTAGATTCTTATCAGACGGTATTGACTTTTACTTCAAAATCTCCGTTGCTTTCGCGTGCCTAGTGGAGTGTTTTGTCTGACTTTAAGTTTTCAAACCAGGTGCTCCTATATGCGGAAGCAGAGCAGCCTACTCGCTATGCCAGTGTATTCGCCGCATATGGTTTACAAGAGATTATGAATGCCCTACCCAAACTCGTGCAATCGCCGGCTTCACCGTTAGGCCAAATTAAGCAATTTTGTGTTTTGCATGGGCGCTGATGCCATTTTTTCGGTTGCAAACCATCTGGCGTCCTAAAGTGCTCGATGATATTTCAATCATTGGTGGCTGTTGCACCGAAAGATTGCAGGAGGAGGAACCCTCAAGTTTGCGCGAAAAAAGACGCCCCTAACCGACAGCTCTAGTGAAAATGAAGTCCCGTTCATTCTGCTCTTCACTTCAGACGAAATAAGTACATCCATAACATGTTTCTTAGAAAGGACCAGCTCAGAGAAGTCGGTAACAGTGAAACAGTCAAATAAAACTCCACTTGGCACACATAGAGCACAAAGACAACGGAGAAGATTCTGAAGCAAAAGTTAGTATTTTCGGACAGGAATCTAAAACTACTGTTCGAAAAACCCCTGAAATATTTTGAGAAAATTCCAAAAATCCAAAAAAGAGTCCAAGAAAGAGCCCTTTCGATCACGCATGACCTCGAGCCATACCGCAGGCTGATTTTTCAAGACCTGAGTCAGGCACAGTTCTCATTCATGTAGGACTCTGTGCGCCCGGTCTCCATTAAATTTCTGGGAGCATTAAAGAGAATGAAAACGGCGAGTGTTTAATAGAAGCTGTTTGCTATGCGAATGAAACACTTTGTATACAATTTCCTCTGCTGAGGTTATGAACGTATTTGACTGAGTAGAGTGCGTGTCGCTTTGACCCTTCCATGTTTGGAAGAAGGCGAAACGATCAAAAGCTTCAGAGATCAGAGATTCAAAATCGGGAAGTCAGCCAGTATTGCACTGAATAAATGTTATTGTGAACAATTATGTGTCTGCTCATAAAGAGAATTGATTTGATCAAAGCCGAAGTTAATATAAAGCGAGCAGATCTTGAAAATTGCTTAGTAGCATTATAGTCAGTAATAATCTTTAATGGATCCTAACTCTTTAAGAATTAAAGAAGAAATACAACAAAAACGAAGCCGAACTTGATTCTAGGATCAATAAGCGCTATACTAACTCCTCATAATTTGTCATTTACTGTCTTCCCACACTTAACAATAATTCAGTTACAGCCACATCCCAAGAAAACAACAACTCTTAGACTTATTGCTAAAAGAAAGTGCTTTTACAAGCAGTGTGATAAAACTAGTAGTATGTACGCAAATACCAATTTGTAACAAGGTGCGTATGGCGCAGTGGTCAGAGAGGCCCTGCAATGCACACGTAGCCCTTAGCTCAATCCAGCGCCCTGAGTTTACCAGGCCTTCTATCCCATCGATAATTAGTACGCAAATTAGTACCGGGCGTGTCTGGGAGGATAGCAGCACTGATTTGATACGTCGATAGACGACCCCAAATCATTTTGTGGGCTAGATATAAATCCAATCACCTCTAACGATGTTTCATGAAATCGAATGCATGGCGAATCTCCCACGGATTGATCAACGCCGAAAACTCTATCTCTTATACTTCACTTGAATATGTAGGCAGCAAAACCACAGCAATTCTCCAAAAAAAAAAAAGAGGAAAAGAACAAAAAACTTAGCCAACAAACGAAACTAAGGAGCAATTCTCTAAGGGAAAATAGATTTATATCTTTATATACCTAAGAAATGTCTTCACCGCACTGCTTATCGTTTTAATTTCCCATTCATCATCGTTGATGTTCAATTTGTCACCATTCGTTTTCCGTTTATCCAACCCCAGTTGCATCAATTTCTGCACCTTTGACGTAACTCCACAGTTTCTATAGAGGCCCTGCTCTCGGATTCCTGAACAGCTTCAACGATTTGATGAAAAGAAATAGTAAATTTCCGATAAAACCGAGATGAAAACGGAATATACCTCGTTCTTCAAGCAGTGTTATGCATTGTCGAATAAATTCGAACCCGTTATCGTCTAAATGCGCTGAAATAAAAGCAAACATAGAATAAGAGCTTGATTACACTTATAGTGAAAAGATCAATATCCCAATTTTGAGCTATTCCATTTTCAAACCTCAAAACCTTAACCCTACTCCCGAATTTTAGTTCTAAAGAATCATAGCTCAAACCTCCGTCACAACCGTCTTTATTCTCGTTTTATCTCCGTTTTCACAACTTTTTACCATGTAAGAAGTATTCGATCAATTATCGATTCCAGCCAATCTGACTTTTCTTCCCGGTTTATGAGGAAAACAACAGAAGCGCAATCGACAATCGATTTAGCACAAATGTAGGGTGACAACAACCGATGCATTACAATTGGACAAACAATTTGACTACCTAGGTAGAACAAAAAAGAAACTTGAGATAATTTCCAAGGCCGATTTTCCATTAATCTCGGCATTGATAAATAATTCGCTGTTTTCTTGATAAGTGCACACTAGGTTGTTACGACAGTATTTATTTAGAAAAGTTGACGTCTTGGCAGATTTTACCTTTCTAGGGGCCTAAAAAGTCAAATTAACTGAAACCCAGTCAGCCAAACACTTCTATAATCTGAAAAGAAAAACCATGATGCATAAGTTTCAATCGATCTGGAAACGAAACAGCTTCCCCATGGACCCACCGCTTTCTATGACCCCACGTCGAGAACCAACCTTAGTGAATTCACATCGATTGATAAGAAGGCCCTTCCGCATTGAAACATCAGTCTGAGACACTGTGTGAGATCACGCGTGATAGCGAGGCATTCTTCTCTGTGGTTCGTTTCTCGATTCTTCGGATTTATCCGTAACGCTTTGAGTCTTCTTACGCAGTGAAGTATGAGGTTCTTGTGTGAGCATGGTGATTTCTACTTCAAAATATTCCCCGTTATATCTCTGTGTCCCATGCGGGCCTAATGGAGAGCTTACTTAACTTAACCCTTACCGTCTATATGCATCCAAAACTGCATAATTTGCCTTACAGTAGAGATCGTGATTGCATGAGTTCGACAATGGTGTATCTGACTTCTTCTAAAGCGTATAGCAATGAATATATTAACAAAATGGGCAAACCGCTCTGTGTCCGTATAGAAGAACACCTAGACAGTAAGCATAAAGTTAAACTAAATACTCCACTAAACGCGCATAGTACACGGAGAGAGTGAAGCGGATTTTGATGCAGAAGTCACCATCCTCGCACAGGAATCCAGAACTTCAACACGTAAAACCATTCAAAGCATTCTGAGTAAACTCAACGAACCTGGACGTGAACTTCAGGAACGAAGGCTTTGCTGTCATGCGTGATGTCATAAGGTATCTCAGCATGATATTTTAAGGTGAAACAGGTGTATTACCCATCTGCGCGAACTCTATACGGTAGGCCTCCAAGTAGAATATTCAGTGGAAGACTCATAGAAATCGATGAGCGTCTGAAGACGCTGCTCAAAATGCGACTGAAATTTAGGATCCGGGTTTTTCTGTGGGATTATGGAAGTATTTGGCTGACCTACGCTGCAATTAAGTTGACCTTCCAATACTCTGAAGATGGCGAAATCCGCCAAAACGTCAGCTACTGTAAATAAATAGTACAACAACCTCGTATGTGCTTATCAAGAAAATAGCGAATAAAAGTCGAGGTAAATTAAAAACGGTAGTATTCATTAAAGTATTATTGCATTTCTAAATGTGTTTTATAGCCCGAAACGCAAACAGTAGAGTATCTCAAGAATTATGGTACTGTAGAATCTACATGACTCATTTCCAGATAACATTGGTTGAGTAGCTGCACTCATTTAGCTCTCGTAATTGGTTTACAGCAAAGACTGGAAGAAAGTGGGTAGCTATTTTCATATATAAGATACCATGACATTCTTCAATGACAAATGCTGGTAAAAACGCAGATCCTTTGTGAAACGTTCGAAGTCCTTGGGTTATATTATAGGTTCCAACGGCAAATGAATTTTCAGCAGGATCGGTACAATAACTCGAAATTGCCTTGTTCTGCGTTGTAGTGAAAATCGGACGACCAGTAGACATTCCAACCGGTTTATGTGACAACTTTCTAAAATTTGAATGCACAAAATATCTATATAAATTATACGAGCCAGAAGTGTTTGAAGCGCAACAACAAATAAGTAAACTAATAACTACTCAACTTAGAATGAATCATACAAACGAGTGAGAAAAATGCGGAAGGAAATTCATTAGACAATTATCTATGTTGATAAATTCGAGTCATCATGGTGTACAGGCATGGGGAGCAAGAGGACTGCAACATGAAACCCAAAAATCTGTACTCTAGCCGAAGAGTAGGTAAGGTTCAAGGAAGGCGAACAGCGTGATAAGTCAAAGGGTAATAAAACTGAAGAAGACGATCAGATGCGCTTAAATTACTACTAAAAGCCACCTCAGTTCGATAGAGTACCGCGAAGTGACGCCTGCTTAGACGCATCGTACGATGAGCAACCATGGATAACCCTGTTTTAGTTATCATGTGTTCTCCTCCACTCGCTACCATTAACTGTACTGTAAGAGAGAACAAAAGTCGAGATAATTACTGAGTCCCCTTCAGAAGAATATGAGCTCTCTGAAGCTCCAGCGACGAAGGCGCGCCAGGTCGGCCAACGCCTGATCTAGACAGCTGGAAGCTGGCCTCGCCTCCATTCCGAGACTTGCAACCTATGAGCATTCCATAGTTGCTGAAACCCAACCAAATAATCACTGGGAATGGACAAATAGAGCAACTTGATATCTCTGTCGGTGAAAAATGAAATAAATCAGTTAAGGTATAGCTTTTACAAGATAGCCCAAGGCATTATACTGCAATTTTAGTTTGCAAGCAACTCCAGGTGGTTGTCTGAATTACAGAAATGTCTAATAGAACGCCTCAACACTTTTTAATGGCGAATACCACGTTTCTCAAAGTGCTCAACTGCGACCACTGAAACGAACATGGAAAGAAAAATTTGTTTATACGAACTCAAAATTGAACCATAAGCAAGTGGAAACAACTCTTAGCACCAACCAACACTGCGTGCGGCTCGGAAACCATGAGCACGATACAGATATTCCACGCTAACAAAAGCGGATTGACGAACAATGATTCGAGAGCATCCGAAACAACTACGCGTAAAGTGACAGTTCTGGAATACCAAAAATGGAAGAAAAACAACTGGACAAATGAGTTCAGCATGAAGAGCGTCGCTGCTGTTTGTTGTTGCACTTCTTCTGCGCAATGAAAACTAGTCGGCTCTTCATCGCATTGTAATATTTGATAAATAAATGGATTCATAATGTCAACTAAATATATTTTTGCAAGGTTGGCCAATGATGATGTACCAAAACACTTCAGAAAACAAATTCGTATCAAACGATGGTTGCGGTGAGCTTTTGTCTTTGGCAGATGGAACCATCTAATAAGGCGTCTTGAACACTAGTAAAACCAAAACAACGGCAATGCAATAATTAACAAAATCGATAAAACCCTAGAAAACTAACGCTTTTCCACTTTCTTTCGAGTCTAAATTTGCATTAAAGAAAGCACAGGGAGACTTCCCTATGGCTGTCAGATGACATCACCTACCATAGCTCTTCAAATCCTTGTGAAGCCATGACAACAGAGAAGAATTGTCAAGTAGTGACAAGATTACTGAATAACTGCTAAGGGAAAAAAAAACATGTAAAATCCTGTTTCTATTTTTTAACTGCAAACGTTTGTTCCGAGGAGAGATTTGTGTTTCAAGTTGAGCATAAGTGCATAGCGTACACGAGAATCTTACTGCATAGATGGCAAGCATACAGAAAAATTACAAACAAGGAAATCTCGCAAGAATATCACGACACGACTAAAGCCTTACCAAGAACGCGGACGGAACTGAAGTCAGAAATGAGTAAGAAAAAGGAAACGAATCCTTGCTAGACGCATGTAAAACGGTTGCGAAAGTAACTAGAATTTCGTGGAACACACTACTTAAGAAAAAGGTTCCACAGAGCATAAACTTATTTGAATTTAAAATTTCGGGCCGCATATTGGATACGGCGCCAGGATTGTTTACACCTGGCTGAATGAACCACAAAGCTAAGGAAAAAAGTGTTCTGCCTTCTCAACTCGAAAAACGATGTTACCAGCCGTGGTCTTCAGCCAATAGAGTGATCGACCAACACAATCGAATTTTCTGTCGGGTGTTAAACTGGGCGTATACGTACGTGTGCTGGGTTCGATGCGACGTCATTGTAGTCGCTGGTGTAATGAAGCGAAATACTAAATAGAGGACGACGAGCTCAGCCCTTCTCTGACAGGACGAAAAAAGAAAAACAGACAAAGGGCTATTGCGTGGTTGTTGAGAAGATTTGGAGATTGAACTTAAAGTAAACGAAGGCGATCATATTTCGATACGAATCGTAGATTCAACAAACTTGGCCTGAGATTGAAAACAACGAGAATTCGCAAAAGTGTATTGTCTTTGTTCTGTTCTGAGTAAAACAATGCCCATTGAATTAGAACAAAACTGAAAACAGAAGCTGCCAGCTCGGCGGAATTGATGTGAATGTCTTTTCACTAGCACCTCTCAACACATTGATGTACTCGTGAGCTAATTCGTCTCGCGCTCTCGTTTTTTGTGAGCAACACAAGGGCAAAATGATAAGCAGCACGACTCATCCAGGCAGCCGATAGATGGATGCATTAATGAACGCTACTGCCACATTCACGTTATTTTGGCTAGACACTGCCATCATTTGTAAATCCAACGAAAAAAATAGTGTAAAGAACACCAAAATCAAAAGCACTGCAGTTTTGTCGATGAGAGCTTGGAATTGGCAGGAACGATAACAAATTACTATTAAAGCCGTGAAGAACCTATTAAATACGCATTCACTGCTTATATTGTTGAGCTTACACGAGGTTGATAAGAGATGTTTATTCGGCTAACGTTTCGACGTCTTCATCTTCATCAGCGAGAAGAGGAATAACTGTGGACCACCGACAGGGAACGTCGGCTCTCATGAAGACGAAGACGTCGAAACGTTAGCCGAATAAACATCTCTTACAACCTCGTGTAAGCTCAACAATATAAACAGATATCGAATATTTTAATCACCGAGGTTTAATGATGGTCGGTTTCAAAAGTATGCGCTCGCTGCTGAATAGATGACCTTGGATGATCTATTACAAGACGAAACTTCGTAATTTACTAAAAATAACAGAGTAGAGCATACGGTCGTTCAGAGACGAAAAACTAGTCTTTCATATCTGGTAGCCTACACTCCAACTGTACCGGAAGAACCACCATGAAATTTTTTCGCCAAAAAAAAAAACATTTGAAAAGCCCTGAATAAATTCTACCGCAAGTAGACAGCAAGTAAAGAATCCACTACTGCCAAGGTTCCGCTGACTGTCCATCTCAATTAGTGAGGAGGTAAATGCAATTGACGGGAAAAATTCCAGAGCATGGACGATGTTTCCGTTGGTTGCCGCCTACTTCGACATTTTCAAACTCTGGAATGACTAAACAACCAACGATACCACAGTGTTCCTTTAGTCTATGCTCTCGACTACTTCCTATCATGTGGCATTGGAGTGATCCTTAGATTCATGGCTGTTGAAACTGTATATTTCTAAATCAGTCCTTCAAAACAAACTATTTAGGCAACGATATTGCACAGCGTACTCAGCGAGCAAATGGGCTTTCATTAAGGCATCGCAATCCTCCATCAAACATCCGCCGACTCTTCCGATGCGATTGGTTGCTAAGAGCAGCAAATATTGGGATGACATAAAAGTGGATGTTGATGGAAATAAATAATATCTGCCACAAGTCGTGCGTGGATCATGACGTTAGCCATTGGCAAATAACTGCACAACTTGGGGTTACTAATATTACTTCAACCCACTAAGGCTATAAACAAATGCTAAGAGAGCAGCGTTAACTAGGCTTCAAATCAATAAGCATAACATCATTCAGGTCGTTCTCAAAGTCTCAGCAGTATCTAAAAACCATCATATTTGCTTTTAAATGAGAATGAGTCATTTGGGAAAAAAATGCTCCAGGCTTCCAACATCATCTGAAAATCAGTACGATGGAGAACGTTCATGAACATGTAACACGCCGATTTCACTCTTTCTACCAAACACGACATAAGTCCCTGGTGTTAATGATAGGTTGGATAAATTTCTGTTTGTTTTCCTCATCACAGTTCTCAACATAACAGCTCTCCCAAATAAACTAGGTTTAAAAGAACTCTGTTGTGGAGTCGTTGCTATCCATGTGCAGATGGGAAATTTGGACATAGCCCGATATTGATCGAAATGCCCTTGAATCCATTACCATCACATTTTAATGGGAAACCCCATCGATGCTGTAAAAATGGATATAGCTGACTTTCCTATCAACTGGATTCACGTCGAATGTTAATCCTGTTTGAATTGTGTCCAAACTTCGATATACTCTATTGGCTACTAGGTGGCACAGTACCATAAAACCACAGGGACATTACTTCTACGGCTCTTGCTGCCAGCGAATCTGCATTTGTTGGAACAATGCCAGCAATGTCTATCTTCAGGTTAACCTTTGCAACATTGTGACACCAAACAATTCATCCTAAGAGTTTTAAAAAACCAAAACGGAAAACCATAAGACTTTCCGTTAGTGACAAGGGTGGAGAGTTTGTCGTAATTCCTCATCAGTTAGATATGGAGATAACGAAAAAGCATCTTGAAGATGCTTCGCTTTA